AAATAATGTGATTTCTTGTCGTACTTTTGTATGTTTGGATGTCTCAGTTGGTGAGATACTTTTAAATTCAGTTTTTTCTAATATTGAAATATAGCTATATATTATTGCAAAAACTTCGTTAGTGAATATGGAGTTTGCTCTTTGCGAATTATGATATTGTATGCTTTTAATATATTCTAAGAATACTTTTGAAAATTCTAATTCAAGATCTTCTGTTTGAATTACATATTTGCGGTGATTCGGATTTGGTGTGCTGAATTCTATGGTGTAGATTCCGTATTGTTGTGTTAAAGTACATATATCTTTCAGATAATGTTCGATAATTTGTCTTTTGATTTTTACATCTGGGAATTCTGCTTTGCATCGGCTGATTCCGGGTTCAAACAAATTTAGGAGTAAATTCTTGCAAAAGTCATGCTGCCCTCTATTATCGGGTGCATCTACGAGGAAGGGGTAAACCTCTTCGTCATCTGGATTTTCATCACTTTGAGTGTGGCTGTGGCTCATTTTTTCGTTTAATGACTGTTAATATATAACTATCGATGTGTCTAATTGGTTGATTCCAATTATATAAGTGTACTGGTTTGTGTTTATTTTGTTTTTTTATTCTTCTTTTTCCTCTTTTTGATGAATTTGAAGTTGTTTCTGAGTCGGAAAAATATAATTGATCGTGAATGGGACAATTTTTATCAATCGATTCTTTTAATTTATAGAGTTCATCTAAATTGCTGGCTTCTGATTCTGAAAATGTGTTTCTATTTTTGGAAAATCTTTTTCGTGTGATTTGTCTTTGTTTGTTTTTTATTTTTCTTTTTATTGTTAGTCGTTTTGTTCTGATATATCCAACTGTTTGTGTATGAGGTGTGATTACAAGATCGTATTTTTTGTTATCTATTTCACAGTTGTGTAAAACGATTGTTTGTTTATTTCCTAGATTTTTGATTGACATAAGTTTTAGGATGAGGGATGCAAAAAGTTGTTAGATGATGTCTACTTTCTTAAACTGTAGTCCTTACGGTTTTTTGGTTAGCTTAACCTGGGTCTATTTGTTTAGAGTTGGAGAGAAAAGTATATCGATTCCGAAGAATGATTTTTTACTTTCTCGTGGCTAATACAAGCTAAGGTGTTAACTTACTTAATCTTACTTAGGGGTAGTGATTGTGTTCAAGGGTTGGAGAATAGTAAATCGATCAACAAGGTTCAGGTATAATTAGAACGCGAGTAGTTCGTTAGATACTATTTTAAACTTACTAAGTCTAAGATTTATCCTGGGTCTGGTAAGAGGAGGGTTCAAGTGAAGGATGAATAACCGAAGTTCTTCACTGTTTATCCTAATTTGAATGGTTAGTTTTGTTGGAAAATTTCTACTTGTCTTGGGTTTTTTGGAAGGGTTGATAGTGAATCGACGTTTGAGGTCGTTAGACACTTGCTAAGTGGGTGGGGGAGAACAAAATTGTTCTTTTTGATCCAAGGATAGGCCTTGATGATCAAGTTTTAAATTTAGTGAAATAGAAAATTAATTAAGATCCAAGGATAAGCCTTGTTGATCTGATTTTAAAATTAAGTGAATTTAAGTTTAAAATGGTTTAAATTTGTTTAAGAAAAAGATTTAATTTTTTAATGATATTAATGAGCTTATGATTGCTGTGATGTTTAGGTGATGAAGCTGGGACAACAGATGATTTTATGATTACTAACAATTTATTGTCATGCTACTAATTTTTGTTTTGATTTTCAATAAATATTTTCCAAACATGATTTATATAATACTGCAGAATTTAAGAAAACGATCTGAGATCTTTTTATCAATCGTTATTGTATATTAATAATTTTGCTTAGCGCCTGAAATGATCATGAAGATTGACTTCAAGATTTTATGTTTGCAAATGAAAATCTAAATTCATTGCTAATTAGATTCTAAATATAAAAGTTTGTGTTGGCTTTTGCCGTACTATCATATAACTATATGGTAAGTTTCTACTTTGTCGTATGTCGTCTCTGGTTCGAGGTCTTCTTACGATTCCGGGTAGTTCTGTTATCGTTCGGAATATCGGCTCTGATCTATTGAGTCGTAGAGACATTTCGATTAAATTATCGTCGTATAACATTTATTAAATGTTTTGTCTAAATTCTAATCTATTTTTGGTTAATTCTAAGCTATTAAGGTCTTGTTCGAGACTTATGGTCGCACCAGATGAGTTAGGACCGATGTGGTTAACTCATAGAGTAATTTCGGATAGGGTACACCGTCTGCTCGTCACGCTATCTTATTTTCGGCCGGATAGATTCGTACAAATTCTTAGTCTAATACCGATCCTAATCTTACTCTTATACTTTCTAGTCTCAGGGTGTTTTACTAGTCTCTGCTAGGCTCAATAGATCTAGGGTATACTGGTTTGTTGCGGCAGCTGAAGTTCTCTTGGAGAGGCAACTAATTTCTAAGTTAAATTCAAATCTCTCTGGTGCTGAAATTACAAGTAATTTCAGCACTTACAAATAAGTGGGTTGTTAGTTAGATGGATCATGATTGGTTAATATTAAATACTTTACAGTGGTAAAATATCTAATTTATTCAATCATAAAATATAGTTTAGATCAGGTTCCACAAGTAGTAAAAAACACCGATAGAAAGGACAATGTGAAAAATTGTGCTCTAAGAATTGTGTTTTATAATGCTGAATGGCAACACAAACGAGAGTGCATAATGTCTGAAGCTCTGCTAAAAAAGTTAATTTTCCTCGCAATCTACCATCATCTCCCAGTCCTCTATTTTGCTAGTTTCAGTTATATGACTTTTTGTTTCAATTTTCGGAAGAAATAGGAAGAAGATGCCTCATAGGAAAATTAATTTCAAAATTTGCCAACCAGGCTGGAGCAAAACACAGTAACCATACAGTTTTCATAATTTTCTGCTCAATCCATGAGCAGAAAAAACTGCTTGAGAGGTATGATAAGTAATTTTTCATCCATTGAGGTTGTAGGATTAGCATTTTTTCATTCAAAAAAGTGCGTTTTTCCCTTGATTTTTTGTATTCCTAATCAAACCCAACTGATGAAAACCCTGGTTAATCAAAACCTTGAGTAACAAAATCAATGAAACTGTTGTGCATAAAATAATTGACACCAGCCTCAAAAAGATATATCGTACAAACAATAACATTAACTTATTGTTTGTATATAAGATTCACCTCTAAAAGAAAGTGGATTATTTGTTAGAAGTAGAAAATAATAAATCCAAAACAAATAATTTTTGAGCTTTTTTCAAATAATGTTATCTCAAAACCAAAGAAGTTGATTTATCTGAGAGTTCGAATATCCTCAAGTTGATGAAAAAATTGTTGGGGCAAATATAAATTCTACTTTGATGATCAGGAAAGTTACCATTTGTGTTCATCATAGTTTTCAGGAAACCAATTGTCGCACTTTCTATACTCATCAAAATTGGAGTAGTCTTTTCTCCAATTTTGATTCCTTTCGCCAATAACATTTTTGTGATTAAAACTCTTTTCTATAACAATTTCTATAACACTGTGTTTGCAAAAAAAGTACTGAGTATGTTTCACTCGCTTTTTCCCTAGATTAAGTGTATGGAATTATTTGATTTATAGCATTTTCCATGTATGGAGGTCAACTTGGATAGCCAAGATTTTATCTATTCATAATGCACTACAATTAGCAAATCAGGGGCGGATCTAGGATTTTCTCGAGGGGGGGGCGGATTTTCAAAAAAAGATTCGAAAATTTTGACGGCCTTTTTTTTAGGTCGACCAAATTGATTTTTTGAGCTCTCCCAAAGCACTGTTTTTCCCCTATTTTGGCTTAATGTTCTGCGCCGCAGGCAAATTTTTGAAAAAAGTCAAAAAAAGCCGTTTTTGGGCTTTTTTTGAAAAATTTTGACAAAAAAAATGCTTTTTTTTTGGCGCGCGTTCCCATTCAAATTTAGTATATAATGGAGCCGAAAGCGCCTCTAGAAAAACTTTAGGGTCGGTTGGCCAAAAATGGATTTCTGAAAAAGTATCAAAGGGGGGACCCTTTGGGTCGGCAGGGGGTCGAATTCCTGAGAGGGGAAGGGGCAACCGGCTTTTTCTCATTGGTTTTTGTACGGTTACAAACACTGTACTAAAGGGTTTCCAGCAAGTAAGACCAAAATTTCTAAGACGAAAAACTCTTTGTGCAACTTTAAGACGGCGCAACGCAAAATTTCTCCAATTGTGTTTCTGAGAAATATAATTTGCTTAAATCCGAACAGTTGAATTGAGATGTTTTATCTGTGATTTGTCAGTCTTAGTCAACTTATTCACCACACTGAAGCTCTATTTTTAGGGCTACAGCTGTGATATAAACTAACCAATATGTTTAATTTACATGTAAGAAATTGTAATTAAAAAAACAGGTGCTGTGCATAAACAGTCACAAGACCAACAAGTTACTGTATGATTACATATAGAAACTCTACAAATAAATGAAATAAATGGTAGACATAATTTCCAGCATAAACACCAAAACTGAGATCAACAACTTTTTCTGGAGAAACGGAATGACTGCCATTTTGTCTGAAAGGATTTTACTTCAGTTTGAAATTTTTATTTGGTCTTCATGAAAAATTTTCAAAAACTATGATATCTACAGATTAATTTCATTGATAGACATTATTATTATACTGCAATCGATGGATTATCATTGTTTCTTTTCTGGACATCAGGTTTTGCGCATTTTTTATTCATACGAAAACTGCAATTTTTGAGTCCTAATGTGAATTAAGCTCTTCGGCTAACTTTCGTTCTAGCTTATGAATTAGGTTGTTTTGCTGTTTTTCAATTGTTTTTTCTGGTTTTTCATTCATTTGTTGATCTGCAATGCAATAATGAGCCATTGTTATAGTTTTCAAATGTTTTTATTTTAAATCATATTTGGCCAATGAGTGTGCTGTCAGCTTGTTGTAACAACGTAGTTATAAAAAGTCTGCCGTCATTTTTTCATTGCTCTTCGTGTCACCAGATCAGTAGCTCCAGGTGAGCCAATTTGGTTTTGTGTATTGAACCAAAAACAAACAAAAACTCTCATATTAACTCGTTTACTGAGTTGAATTGAACATCGAAATCGTAAAAAATAGGACCTTAGGACTCAAACTAGACATGACAGATAAAAAGCAACATGAACCACCAGATAATCACATCTCGACGCAAGGTGCACAAGTGAGTTCAATGGCGAAAGATTGGTTGGAAACAGAAGAAAAAAAGATAACTGAAAAAATCCAATTACTTCACTCTTCCACGAAAATACTTCTTCTGATAGCTTCACTCACATCGACTCTAAGCTCTGAATCTGAACAGGAATTGTCAGATCATCTAGATGAACTGTCTGGAAAACTAAAAGATCTTTTTCTCAGCCATCAGAGCCTTCAAATCAACCCGACGATCGATCGACGGCTTTTGAATTTACGGTCAGTTAGTAAAACTATCCTAAATGAAATTTCAGCAGAATACTGTAAGAAAATTCAGCAGAATATTTCGAACATTAAAAGCACAATTGATGTATCTTCACTGGTTGCTTCCGTCATTGAGTCTTCGATGACGGACAGTGGATATGATACAGATGTTGACGGCTATGACACAGATGACACTGGTGCTCAACTGATCAACAGCGCCAGCAACAGTGTTGATGGCACTGTTGCCGGCAATGTTGATCAACAGAAAACGACCGAGCAGCTTGATGAACAAAATGTTGTCTGGACAGACTTCTTTTTCGAAGATGCCAATCAGTTCGAAGAGTTTGTCATTTTTGGTTCCAGCTATGTTGCAACTATTGCTATTGTGTCATCTTCTTCAGACACTTCAGAATTGAATAACATACGGAAAAAACATGCACACTTTTGTGAAGTCATAGAAAATAAGAACGACCAAGTAGCCGGACTTTTGAAAACAGGCGACTCTAGTTTTTCAGACTTCAGATTTATTCAAATTGTACTCGATCGTAAGCGCATTGGAGAAATTGGGTTTGTTAAAAGTGCCGTTCCCAAAAAAGTTCATGAATGGTTGATTGAACAATTAATGGATTCGAATGTACGAAAGTCAGCCATGACGATGAAGGGCGAACCTAGACTTATTAAGGATCTTATCATCTCCAACTGGCTTCAGAGAACTGAGACTAAACTCTTGGACACTATCTCACAGCAATCTCACCTTATCTCACAACAATTAATGGATTCGAGTGTACGAAAGTCAGCCATGACGATGAAGGGCGTAGCTAGACTTATTAAGGATCTTATCACCTCCAACTGGCTTCAGAGAACTGAGACTAAACTCTTGGACACTATCTCACAGCAAGACAACAAGATATCTTCTAACATGGTGTTGAATGAATTCAATAGACTGCTAGAAATGATCAAGGCGGGTCAACAGAACATTTCAAAACTTCTTAAAAGTCACCCATCAAGCATAACCGAGTTTCCTAGTGTCAATTTTGACTACGAATGGGAAGTCACTCAAGTGAAACTAGGAAGAACTCTCACACAACAGATACTCTTTACTGGAAAAGAGAAACGACTGACGTTCAAAAACACAAATCCAGAGGGAGAGACACATTACGTGAGGATCATTTTTCTCGAAAATTGTCTTCTTGGAAAAAGACGAATTCACTTAGAAATTGTTTTTCCAAGCAACACCGTTAAACTAAGAGAGAATGAGATGGTTATCACACCCGTGGTTTACATTTCACTGGAGAAGCATACGCAGTTCTTGCGAAGAGTGGAAATTGAGTTGCCGATTTTTGACAAGGATTTTGGTGTGCAGAGCACCTTCGAAACTCGTAGCAGTTTCAGGAAACAATTGTCAATTAACGAGCATACGGCAACAATCAAAGCATTTGATTTTTCACCTGCCGCGGTGATAAAATTTAGAACAGCTGTAAGTGTATTTTTTTAATTACCATTTTTGAACAAAACAAAGATTTTAAATAAAACAGGTTTTTCTCTATACAAAAAATGACATTTCAATAAATGTGAAGAAAAAATTATATTTATTTTTTGCTTCTCATACAATAAAAACTTGCTTTTTTGCCAATATTTTTTTCAAATTTAACGCAGTTCCAAATTCAAATTCGCTATTTTTTATTTCAAGAACTGAATTTTATGTTTTGTGTTTAAAACAATCTAGTCCAGCTATTATTTTCAGCTTATTTTTTCGCGATCATACAACTGAGCGTTTATAGTCTAAATACAGTAACCGCTCGTCTAGCATGAAATTTGAATCATATCGATAGCTATATTTTTCAGAATTACAATACACACAAAAAATTCAGCAACCAAATAAAATTCCTAAATACAATTAGCAATCAGTCACATCCCAATCTGTAACACTGGTTGCATGCAAAAAATTATTTTTGTGAAGAAACTTTGATTTGTAACATTCTTGGTGCATAGTTTTTTTGATTTTGATAATAATTTTGAATTTTTGCTTCGATGTTTTAAGTTAGTTTATACGACCTTCAATTTTCAGATTTTCATGCTGGTCGCCCTCTCTAAATGCTGTCTTTTTTTTCAGCACTGTGGTTTTTGTACTATACGGCTCAAAACGTATTTTTTCATGATTGTCAATTCATCACAATGGTCAAATCTGATTGGTTGAAATTATTTACAGCTAAATAGTATCAAAAATACAGAAGCTCAATCTATAAGTTCATAAGTTTTTTGATGAATAACTGGAAAAAAAACCAGCATTGTAGCAAAAAAATGCCAATTTGGTCAATCGGGGATAATTAACGCGGAATATGTTTCGTGCTATTAACTCAAAAGCTGAAATTTATTCCAACTTAAAAATCATTCCAAATTGAATTGAGGCGAAATCAATCAATGTGTACTTTACATAGCATATGGTGGTATAGTTTTCAAAAAAACTCAAAAAAAAAACAATTCAATTTATTAGTAACAAACACTCCTCCATAGACTTTAAAAAGCATTGGGAATATTCAGGGTGTTGTGTGATTTCAGCAGTTTTGCTGTACATGCAGGACATAATCAACCTGTATTCTAGTGTTTATCAGAGACGTTTTCAGGTGATCGGCTAAAACTATATTTTGCAACAAAAAATTTAACATTTAGCGGCATTTAAATTTTTTGAAGGCCTTCCTAAAAATTTTAGTTAATCAATACTTTTCTCTTCAATTATTGATGAAATATCTCAAAATTGTGTAATGTTAAATTTCAATTAGGGCCTAAAAAAACACAAGCCATGCCTGAGCCATAATACTAGTTCACTTCTATCGAAGTAAAATGCAAAATTAACTCCGGCATTAAAGCAACTACGTTTGTGCTAGAGACAAATGATTTCCAATCAGATGGCCGTGGTTCGAATTGATTTTGTTTTCAGACTTAGTTGTTTTTAATTTTTCAAGCTACCTATGCCATTTTTCAGCTGTTTGGAAAATGTAGCTTCATTTTTGAGTTGAAAAAACTGCTGCAGATAACCCAATCATCTTGGCAAAGTATAATGTTACAGGAAAGTGACGTTAATTTGAGCATAATTTTAGGCAACTGACATGCTTCGAAATTCCTATTACTTTGACGAGCTTCTGCTTTTTGATGAGTCAGCTGTATATTTCCTGATGAAACAACCGATACAATCGGAAAATGATACTTCTGACTTCAAACTGGATTTTGCTTGCAGACCATTTCGAAACAGTGCCGAGACCGAAGCATTCAGAACGAAACCAAATTGGTCATACAGCAGACTGAGTGACATGCAAACCTACAGAGTTATGGAACAAACAGGCCTAGTTGAAATAAGCATGGAAGGTAAGTTGATATCAGTCTACTTCATAATGTACTTCTATTAGTTTTAAACTTGAGATTGCTTCTTATTTCAACACGTCACTGCCAAATGCTTAGATTGGACAACATTTTATTGTTTCGACTACTCTCGAAGAGATGGAAGGAATTTTGGACTCTCGTAGTATTTTTTCCAGCCAGTTTTGACTACCTCAACCTCACAAAAGACTCGTATGGAGTCAAATGTGGTATCACATTTTGATCGTGATTCCGTTTCTATATTAAATTTTGAAAAAATTCTCTCAATGTCCAGAAAACTTGGTCGGAGTATTTTCGGGTTGCCGATTAATTTAGAGGAGATTTGATGAAGATGACCTCCCAATTCAATTATACCAAATTTTCAAATTATTATTTTCTCTTTCAACACTTTTTAGTTTTTCGTTTTCTTTTCAATTAATACAGCCCCCCTAATAAAAAAAAGCTAGAAATTCGGGGATTTTTTTTTCATTTTACAAAAAAAATTGAATGATTTTCTATTTTTCTTGGAATTCTGTCTTTCATTTTGAATTTTTTTCTAAAACTATAATGATCTAAGTTTTCTATGCTACTTGCACAGCAGCTAGCTATCCTTGTTAAATATCAGCACTGGTTTTCATGAAACATATCTTACATTACCTTAACTTTATCAAAAAAAATTTTCAAGTTTTATAAACTTCTTTTTTTATACTTCAGAGTCCCCGCCACATACAATCTTTTTGCGAGATGACCGAACGTTGCAATTTGGGATACCTAAGCGGTTGGACTATAGTAAGCCACGCGTATTCAAGCAGTTTGGCTACAAGAACGACAATTGTTGGCCCTACAAGTTTGATGACGCTGAGCCACCATCTGAGGCATATCAACGGACCAGTGCTAATTTTAAATTTGGATCAAATAGCATCAAATTTCCATTCCTTCTAAAAGATGAACTGAATAGTCTAGGCAAAAACAGGGAAAAACATTTGTCAGTGTCGATGTTATCTGATTTCATTGACAGGCTAGGCGACAACTGGATTCTTTTTGTAACAGACGGGATAGAATTGCCTCGAGATGATCTGTCGTGTCTGGTTACGGTGGATTTCACTGATACAGTCGAAAGAATTATTGACAGCAAAATTAAAGGCTTAAATGAAAGACAGACAAGTTTGAAATTGAAAGAGTTTCAGGACTCAATCGCAACAAAGTGTAAGTCATCATCATTTTCTAATGAGATGGAAACTGCTAGGCAATGGAGCTGGAGCGAAATAATGACTGCAAACTTCTGGAGAAGAAACGCTGAATCTGAAAATAATTTCAAAAAGAGCCAAATCAAAGAGAGCTTAGAAAGTTTGTTTGACGATCGGTTCAGATCAGGTCACGACGACGCGAAGCTTAAAACATTGCAAACAATGGACGAAGGTGTGGAGGGGAGCGAAAACTGTCTGGAACCGAAGAACCGAAAAGCCCTGGCTGAAATAATGGTATTTTGTGACGAAAATTATCTCAAAGGCAGAATGAAGAGAGCCTTCAACGATGACTCATACTACAAGCTTCAGGCGCCGGACTTATCGCCAGAGTTAAGGACGTTCTTGGGGGAGGACGCAATCCCAACTGGCGATGACTTGTGTGAACGATGACCTGAATTGGATTGAACGATGAATAACACAATAATTACCAAAAATACAAAAAGCCTTTTTAAGCCGCTAACTAATTTTTACTAAAAAACTAATTTCTTTTTTCAATCCTGACAATTTGCAACTTCATGGATCAGTTCCCACCTAAACCTCCAGTAGTATCGACAAGTTTTTACCATTTGTCATAACGAATGATGGATTCCTTTGAACTCTTTATCTGGCACAACTTAATAGATAATGAAAGAGTAAATTATATGACCGAATGATTCTCCAGAAAAACCAGTATTGCTCATTGAAAAGAAGCTTACATTGATTTTATCACAAATGAATCAAAAAAGATTCAAAATTTATATTAACATGATTGATAGTGTGTGTTTTCAAAAACTAGTTTTTTATTTTCAAACTGACAGTTTCTTAGCTAACAATTATTACTCGTTTCACCTCATTCTATTTTGGTAATGCAAATATGTCCATATTTGCGACTCAATCTAACCATTTCAATTGTTTCAACAGATATCGCATATGTAGACAAAAGTACTAAGATCTTTTATTATCCTTTTGATGCCCGTTGATTAAAAATAAGATTAGATCAAGAACTTGTTTGTATCCAAATGCATAGTTTCCTGTAGGCCACACTTATTTATTGTTGTTTTGATTTCGATACGAAAGCAACGAAATATTTGTGCTCGGGGTGGGTTTTTTTCCTTTAGACAAATATCGACTTTTTAACTAGCCATTTTTGACGGAATTATTTTATATCATTCAAAAGGCATTGTTGTTCTGACTTCAAAATTAAAAAGGTATTTCACCTGTGATCATTTTTTGTAAAGTTGTGGAGATTTAAAGATTGCCATTTTGGCCAATTTGGGACAATTAACGCGCGATATATTTCTCGCTATTAACGTGTAAGCGGAGAGTTAATATGTGTCTTCGTTCTAAATTGGTTGAAAGAAGCTTATTTGCCTTAACTGATTTGTTACAAGGAGCGAAATTTATCCTTTTGTACTTTATATGGCGTGTGGGTGATGATTTAAATTTAAAAATAATTCAAGTTGAAAAAAAATCATTTTGTTTTTTTATGAAAGAAAAAATATTTCATTTAACGTTTTTACTGCTCCATAAACCTTAAAAAGCAGTCGGAACATTCAGGGCTTCGCCCTGTTACGAGCAGTCTTGTTCCAGCTTTCGAAAACAACGGAATATTTCTGCTCGGAGTTTGACCTTCGAAAACAGTTGTTGTTTTTAAAAACGTATTATTACAAAAACGGCCTCATTTTTGACAGCTTTACATTGAAATCAGCAATACATGTTAAGCTGAAGGAGAGATAAGGTTCGAGATTTCAAAATTTTAGCACTTAAACATTAGGTTACAAATTTGATCATAGTACCCTGCGTAGTTTCGCAACCCCTATACACCCAGGTAAATGCTGATGGTGAATCCATCATCCCGTAAAAAAGAAACGTATTTGAAAAATATAATAAGAAAAAAACGTCGCAAACAGAAAATCAAAAACAACCGATCAGGATGGTAAAAGTATCTTAAGTAAGTTCAAAAAACAAGTGAAACGTTCTTGCCCGACAAAATCATTGTTTTCGAAGTGCCATAGCTGACTACCAAAACCAGTTAGGATTTGAAAAACAGTCATTCTTTAGCAGTTTCAAAAGATTATATTAATCATAAAAAATTTGAAAGTTTAAAATCAAACGAGCAAAAAAATATGTTGGCGATTACAATGACTAGCATTTCCTTTCATAAATTTTCTTTTTCAAAAAAATATACAAAGGAACCGCAAAATTCCCGATAGAAGCAAATCCGTTTCATATGCTAAAGGCTCTAGAAAAGCTAAAATCACTTAATCGGGGTAACCATCATATGCATTTTTAGATGCCGTTTAGTTTTCATTTTTATTAATGATGATAATTTTCAAAAACGCGTGTTCAAATTTGTAAAGCAGCAATCGACACCCTTGCTACATGAAAATTTTTTCGTTTCTTTTCCGTGCTCTCAATTTCCCATCTTTAAATCCTAATGAAACGACACTAACCAATATCGACTTTGCAAACAACATGAAATACAAAAGCATTTTGCTACGCCCTAATTTTTACGAAAAATAAGCGAAAACTGTGTGAAAACTTTGTTTATGAAAACAGAAAGCTAATGATATGCGGAAGCATTCATACCAGCCGTGGAACCAATTATAACTCCTACGAGCCAGACACAAAACTGAAACAAAAATCGAGAATGAAGAATCAATTTAATTTGAACAAAAAAGTATAGGACGGAAAGATTTAAAAATCTGAAGTTTCTTGAAACTAGCAGAAAAAAACAATCGCTGAAAAAACGGAAGAATGGTTTCAACCAAAACTTTCCTCAAATTTTTCGGTGATTGAATCTAATTGTTAGTTTTTCAGACAAGACAGGTCAAATAAGAAATCCGGAGGTGGCTGTTTGTTTTTCTGCATGCCTGAAAAATTCAGATACGATCAGTTTTTTTCCGGCTTTAGAAAACGACTGAATATTTGTGCTCGGAGTTTGACTTTCAGAAACAGTTGTTATTTTTAAGAACGTTTTATTACAAAAATTGCTGCAAAAAAAAAACTTTTTTCTCACACAAACTTGGATTCAGTTTATTTAAAAAATGATTTTTGACAACGTTACGTCGAAGTCAGCAATACAGGTTAAAGTCAAGGAGAGATAAGGTTCCAGATTTCAAATTTTTAGCAGTTAAAGATTAGGTTACGAATTTTATCATAGGATCCAGCGTAGTTTCTCAACCCCGGTAACCTCCTAGACACCCAGGTAAATGCTGATGATGAAAAATAAAAACCGATTGGGATGATAATGATATCTGAAGTAAGTTCAAAAAACAAGTGATATGTGCTATAAAACGTTCTTGCCCTACAAAATCATTGTTTTTGAAGTGTCTTAGCTGACTACCAAAACCAGTAAGGATTAGAAAAACAGTCATTTTTTGCAATTTTGAAAAATGATTGTAATAAAAAAGTTTGGCGCTATAAAATTAAATGAGCAAAAAAACATATTGGCGATTACAATAACTAGCATTTCCTTTCAGAAATTTCCATTTTCAAAAAAGTACACTAAGGAAACGCAAAAATCCCGATAGAAGCAAATCCGTTTCATATGCTTAAGGCTCTAGAAAAGCTAAAATCACTGAACCGGGGTAACCATAATATGCTTTTTCAGATTCCGTTTAGTTTTCATTTGTATAATTGATGATAATTTTTAAAAACGCGTCTGTATAATTTGTAAAGCAGCAATCGACACCCTTGCTCCATGACATTTTTTTTGTTTCTTTTCCGTGCTTTCAATTTCCCATTGGTGAACCCTAATGAAACGACACTGACCGACATCGACTCTGCAAACAACCCAAAATACAAAAGCATTTTCCTACGCCTTAATTTTTTCGAGATATCAGCAAAAACTCTGAAGAAGTTTTGTTTATGAAAACAGAAAGCTAATGATATGCGGAAGCATTCATACCAGCCGTGGAACGAATTATAACTCCTACGAGCCAGACACAAAACTGAAAAAAAAACGAGAATGAAGAATAAATTTAGTTTGAACAGTAAAAGTATAGGACGGAAAACATTAAAAATCTGACGTTTCTTGAAACTAGCAGAAAAAAACAATCCCTGAAAAAAGGGAAGAGTGGTTTCAACCAAAACTTTCCTCAAATTTTCCGGTGATTGAACCTAATTATTAGTTTTTCAGACAAGACAGGTCAATTAAGAAATCCAGAGGCGGCTGTTTGTTTTTCCGCATACCTGAGAAATTCAGATACAAGCATTTTTTTACGGCTTTGGAAAACGACGGAATATTTGTGCTCGGAGTTTGACTTTCGAAAACAGTTGTTTTTTTTTTACGAAACTTTGTAACAAAAAATTGCTGCAAAAAACATTTTTCTCACACAAACTTGGATTCAATTTATAAAAACAATGAGTTTTGACAGCGTTACGTCGAAATCAGCAATACAGGTTGAAGTCAAGGAGAGATAATGTTTGAGATATCAAATTTTTAGCAGTTAAAGATTAGGTTACGAATTTGATCATAGGATCCATCGTAGTTTGTTAACCCCGGTAACCTCCTAGACACCCAGGTAAATGCTGATGATCAACCCATCATCTCAAGAAAAAGAAACGTATTTGGAAAATATGATAAAAAAAACGACGCAAACAGCAAATTAAAAACCGATTGGGATGATAATGGTATCTGAAGTAATTTCGAAAAACAAGTGATATGTGCTATGACATGTTCTTGCCCGACAAAATCATTGTTTTTGAAGTGTATTAGCTGACTACCAAAACCAGTAAGGATTCGAAAAACAGTCATTTTTTGCAATTTTGAAAAATGATTGTAATAAAAAAGTTTGGCGCTATAAAATTAAATGAGCAAAAAAATTATTTGCAATTACAATGTCTAGCATTTCTTTTCATAATTTTCCCTTTTCAAAAAAATGTACTAAGGAAACGCAAAATTCCCGATAGAAGCAAATCCATTTCATATGCTAAAGGCTCTAGAAAAGCTAAAATCACTAAATCCGGGTAACCATCATATGCATTTTCAGATTCCGTTTAGTTTCAATTTTTATTTTTGATGATAATTTTCAAAACCGCGTCTTTATATTATGTAAAGCAGCAATTTACACCCTTGCTCCATGACAATTTTTTCGTTACATTTCCGTGCTCTCAGTTTCCCATTGTTGAATCCTAATGAAACGACACTGACCCACATCGACTTTGCAAAGAACCTAAAATACAAAAGAATTTTTCTACGCCTTAATTTTTTCGAGATATCAGCAAAAACTCTGAAGAATTTTTGTTTATGAGAACAAAAATTTGATGATATGCGGAAGCAGTCATACCAGCCGTGAACCAATTATAACTTTTACGAACAATCACAAGACTGGAACAAAAATCGAGAATGAAGAATCAATTTAATTTGAACATTAAAAGTATAGGACGAAAAACTTTAAACATCTGAAATTTGTTGAAACTAGCAGAAGTAAACAATCCCTGAAAAAACGAAAGAGTGGTTTCAACCAAAACTTACCTTAAACTTTTCGATGATTGAACCTAATTATTAGTTTATCAGACAAGACAGGTCAAATAAAAAATCCGGATGCGGCTGTTTGTTTTTCTGCATACCTGAGAAAATCAGATACGAGCAGTTTTTTTCCGGCTTTGGAAAACGACGGAATATTTTTGGTCGGAGTTTGACTTTCGAAAACAGTTGTCAGTTTTAAGAACGTTTTATTACAAAAATTGCTTCAAAACTTTTTTTCACACAAAAATGGATTCAATCTATAAAAACAATGATTTGTGACAGCGTTACTTTGAAATCAGCAATAAATGTTAAAGTCATGGAGG